TCTGGGATCTCCCCGTTAGGGAGGGAGTGTGTGTGGGGGGGGGTCTCCTTAGCCCCTCGCCTGTTTTTGTTTCACCATTTCCAGCTCGAGGGGGGTGGTGGTAACCCTGGAAACGGATTTGAATTTCAAGCCAATTTACGAAGACCAGAGGGAAGAGGGGGTGTGTGTGAGTGTGTTGGTGTTTTTGTATAGTGGGGGGGGGGGGGGGGGGGGGGGGGGGGGGGGGGGGGGGGTATTCCAGGAATTACTTGAAAGTTGTACAGTGATGCTGTAGCTTGGTATCTAGTGAAGCCAACTCTTTGTTGTTGTCACGTTGGGTGTTTCAAATAAGATAGACTTGACCATACACCAAACTTACATTATCTAACAGTTTTCATCGTTTTATCCATAGAATTACCTATTAGAACTGTAATGTAATATGTAATTTAATAGGATCTCTGTGGTTCTAGCACTCCCTTTAAAATGTATAATCATTTGGAGGAAAAAACACAAAGCATCAGTTATAGTTCTTCATTATTAAAAACACCAACAAAATAATCTTACTTTTCATTCACTGGCATCAAAATGAACAACAGTTTTATTGAAAGGAAAAATGTGTTTTATTCTTCAGAAGTTTTGTCCTTATAAATATCCATTATATACAAAATAATATTATAAAACATATAAAGAGCAGTTGTGTCATTAATCAATATTTAAATTAAACTCTGGAAATAATCGTAAAAAAAAAAAAGAAGACATTATTGGTTCTGTAATTTCACAAAGTCATTATAGGCAGGCAGTGGTATGACAGTCTCTTCCATTCATCCTTATCTCAGGGCTGTTTGGTTGCCTCCCAAATTACACCCTATTCCCTACATAGTGCACTACTTTTGACCAGAGCTCACAGGGCTCTGGTCAAAAGTAGTGCACTATATAGGGAACAGAGTGACATTTGGGACGTAAGCTTTTTGTTGTTGTTGCATATAAACTGGCCTTCCTCTTCTCTTGGACTACAGAACTGATTATTGCGCTCCTGTCGTTTATCCATCTGCATCCCAAATTTCTATACCCTATTTATTGTGACTACTACAGGCCCATAGGGCTTTGGTCAAAAGTAGTGCACTATATAGGGATTAAGGGGCTATTTGGGATGCAACCTCCTCCAAATTCCTGTTGATGAAAAAAGTGTATTTTCCACCTGTGTTTTTCTTTTTGTAGGTCAAATGCTCCATGAACAGACAAGTGTTTATGTTTTAGCATTCAAACGCACACTTTTTTTTTTAAGGCTTCTAGTGATTTTGGGCTGCATACAATCTTTTCACCATTTGCATGGAATGAAAAAGTCTGGAAAAGTCCGACCAGGTGTTTTGTTTGGAGTGATTGAGAGCTGAGATGTTAGTTTGCTTGTTCAGTCAGACATTCATCGTTCTCAGTGTTTTGTTGTGGTTAGTCGGTGGTTTTCGACGACTAGTCAGTCGATTGTTTGCGGTTGGTGGATTGTTTGCGGTTGGTGAGTTTCAGCGAGTTGGCTCCACCCTGGACCTTGGGTCTTCCATAGCTGGTGAATGATGCTGGCTAGGGGTTAAAGATCAGTTGAATCTCAGGCACCTCCATTTTGATTAGTTGGCTGTCGAAGTCACCATGATTAGGTCGGGCAGGGGTCAACTGAGAGGTCAGGGGTCAACTACGAGCTCTGGCCATTTGTCCTGTTTCACCTACTCTCTCTTCCATTGCTGCCAAGGACAGATGAGTTCAGTTCAAGTTCGTTGTTTTGCTTGCTGACACTCTATGTGCAGTTCAGTCACTCAGTCTTTTAACCATTTAACAGTTAATTTAACCTTTAATTTAACCATTCCCAGAAGTCAAAAGGTCCATGACTTACTGTACACGTTTTGTATACAAACACTCGGTCGATGTTAAAGTTCAAGTTCTCAGGCTGGTGTTCATTAGTTCATAGAGAAGTTCTCTCTGTCTCTCTCTCTGTCTGTCTCTCTCTCTGTCTGTCTCTCTCTCTCTCTCTCTCTGTCTGTCTGTCTGTCTGTCTGTCTGTCTGTCTGTCTGTCTGTCTGTCTGTCTGTCTGTCTGTCTGTCTGTCTGTCTGTCTGTCTGTCTGTCTGTCTGTCTGTCTGTCTGTCTGTCTGTCGGTCTGTCTGTCTGTCTGTCTGTCTCTCTCTCTCTCTCTCTCTCTCTCTGTCTCTTATCGTCTCTCTCGCTCTCTCCATTTCTCAAGTGTTCCAGAGCAGCAGTGACATCAGAAACAGTCTCCAGTCTCTTCTCAGGTTTTTGTAAACAATCCAGAAAATAATATCCGCCTCGATTGTGTTTGTCCTCCTCCTCATCTATAGCGCCCTCGCTTCTTCATGCCCCTCACAGCTTATACCTGGGGAGGAAGAGAGGAAAAATGATTGAAGATATGCAGTGGGTACTGGGGAAACACTGCACAATTTGCTTGGCTCATCTGCTCTCAATTCCACTCAGTGCTAAAACATAGGGCTTGTGAGACAAAGTAAAGCTTTAAACGTATCAAAACCATATGCATAGGCTTGTGTTCAAGTTCAAGTATATGTACTGCTAAAGCTTTAAACATATCTAAAGCATATGCAGAGAGAGCAGTCCAGGGGATCCAACTCTGTGGGGTAAATGGGTACACTTTATCCCCTTTCCAGGCCATCAAATTGTCAGAATGAAGTATAGTGATTTGATACACTTTTAGAGCATTGCCATATAAGATTACTCCACCATATTGACTTGGCATATATGATTACCCCATACAGGCCTACAGGATATTTCCCTGGCTTATGTTTAAGTAATAGAATATGCAGTACTTCCACAATGTGTATCTATAAAAACAGAGACATCACCAAAGCATAAATGTACAGCATTTGTCATTGACCATAAAGTGTGACATGAAACGCTGTCGAGGGAAACCGCAAATAAGTACTGATGGAAAAAGTTTTGTTTTTTTTCTCATTTCTTTATCGTTACCTCTGTTGCTGTGACGCACGTCCTCCGCTCCTCTCCTATAACAAAGACAGACTGGTAGATCTGAGAGTCTCGAGGGGAACATATCGTTGATATCCTACACGCCGCCTTTTCACTGCAACACACAAATCAACACACACACTCGGTCAGTCCACCTTAACGACGCAAAGTAGAAGCATATGGTAAAACTAGGCTATGTATCGAGTAGCCTACTGATGGGGGGGTGTGGAAATGAATGTTCCCTGGAGACGGAGGTATAGGGAGGGAAAACATATCTATGGGTGATTCTACAGAAGTGGTGTAAATTGCTATCACACTCTAAAATATATATATATATAAAAAAAAAAAAATTGGTCTCCAAATTTAGGACAAATATTTACGTCTCCTGAGTGGCGCAGTGGTCTAAGGCACTGCTTCGCAGTGCTAACTGTGCCACTAGAGATCCTGGTTCGAATCCAGGCTCTGTCGCAGCTGGCCGCGACCGGGAGACTCATGGGCGGCGCACAATTGGCCCAGGGTAGGGAAGGGAATGGCCGGCAGGGATGTAGCTCAGTTGATAGAGCATGGTGTTTGCAACGCCAGGGTTGTGGGTTCGATTCCCACGGGGGGGCCAGTATAAAAAAATATCTATTCACTAACGGTAAGTCGCTCTGGATAAGAGAGTCTGCTAAATGACTAAAATGTAAACGTCATCATCTGTTCTAATTCAATCCCAGACAGGAACAAACATATTGTTAAATTAATATAGTACAGTAATTGTTTACACAACGATTTCTATTGAGAGGTGGCACGTCCCAAACTCTTGACTCCTAAACTTCATATTTGAAAATAAAGCAACTCGTGATTTTTGTATTTTGTATTTTTTTTTATTCAATAGAACATCTTGAGTTATTCTATTATTACATTGAAAGATACTGATCTAATTAGTCGTTTTTTTTTTGTTTTTTTTTAAACATCTTTCTCTGAAAAATGCTGGCCCACTTTTTGATGTCACTACCGAAACACACAATTTAAAAGACTATGCCTTAAGCCAGAACCCCTACAAATATCACCAGGTGATGTGACCACAATCCTCTCCACTGTGGCCACAAGGGGAGTAGTCTGTCTGCAAACATTTTTTGGAGAAAATGAGTGAGCAAGTTGATAAGTCTTCATATATTTTTAAGAAGCGTCACACCGAACATGTAATATATCAAGAAATATGTAAAGTACGGTTTTGGGACTAAAATATATGTTTGCTGGGATGTACATATGTCCAAATGAAAGATAGCCAGCCAAACATTATCTATGGGGAATTTTGTAAAGTCCAAAGTAAGTCAAAATTGTCCAAACCGAAATGGTCACAACCGAAACAATTGACACCATAGTGATATATAGAGATCTCATCTTTGGAACTTTGCCATTGAGGCTATCATGCACTGTGCTCTACCACCTGAGTTACAGAGGACCACCATGTGGGTAGTGGACAAGTGCACACTTCAGGAAAAAGTGTAGAGTATTGAGATGCATAGCCAGCAGGGGGGCTCCAGCCCTCCAAGAGCCCAAACATTGACATCTATTTGGCCAAAACATAGACGTCTATAATGTGCTATACTGTACCCTACTCTACTGTACCCTACTCTACTCTACTCTACTCTGCTCTACTCTACTCTGCTCTACACTACTCTACTCTACTCTACTCTACTCTACTCCCTACTACTTACTCTACTTCTAACTCTACTCTACTCTACTCTATCCTTACACTACTCTAACTCTACTCTACTCTACTTACCTACTCTACTTACTACCTACTACTCTACTCTACTCCTACTCTACTCTACCTACTACTCTACTCTACTCTACTCTACTCTACTCTACTCTACTCTACTCTACTCTACATCTACCACTACTCTACTCTACTCTACTCTGCTCTACTCTACTCTACTGTACCCTACTCTACTGTACCCTACTCTACTGTACCCTACTCTACTCTACTCTACTCTGCTCTACTCTACTCTCACACTTACTCTACTCTACTCTACTCTACTGTACCCTACTCTAACTGTACCCTACTCTCTACTTCGACCTACCCTACTCTACTCTACTGTACCTACTCTACCTACTCTACCCTACTCTGCTCTAACTCTACTCTACTCACCTACTTTACCTCTACTCTACTCTACTGTACCCTACTACTCTACTGTACCCTACTCTAACCCTACTCTACTCTACTACTAAACCCTACTCTACTCTACTCTACTCTACTCTACTCTACTTAACCCTACTCTACTGTACCTACTCCTACCCTACCTCTACCCCTACTCTACTCTACTCTACTCTACCTATCTACCTACCCTACTCTACTCTACTCTACTCTACTCTACTGTACCTACTCTACTATACCCTACTCTACGTACCCTACTCCTACTCTACTCCTACTACTACTCTGCTCTACTCTTCCCACTCTACTGTACCCGCTCTACCTACTCTACCACTACACTACCTACCTACTCTCTCTGCCTCTACTCCCTATCTACCTACCCTACTTACCTCCCTGACTTACTCTACTACTAACACTCCTACCCTACTCTACCTACTAACCCTACCCTACTCAGACCACCCTACCTACTCTACTCTACCCTACTCTACTATACCCTACTCTACTTACCCTACTCTCTACCCTACTCTACACTCGTACCCTACTCTACTACTCTACTCTACTCTACCTACTCTACTCTACTGTACCTACTCACTTATCTACTCTCTCTACTCTACTCTACTTTACTTTCTTACAATTGAAGCAAGGGACAATGGACTCTGGATCAGTGGTCTTGGTCTTGAAACCACATACATTTGGTCTTTAATTTGTCATGGTCTCAACTCACTGGGTCTGGGTCAGGGTCTTGGGACCAATGTCCTGGTATAAATCTTGGTCTTGGCTCCTGGATATGACCTTAGTCTTTGGTTTACAAACCATAGGCAACCCAATTTGAAGAAGACAATGCTCTCTGATCATTGGCTGATCGCTCCCAACAAGTTGGCTACTTTTAAATGGTGGCAGCCATCAATGGCAACGTTTATACTAAAACGAGTTATATCCATATAGAGTCCTCTATTTATTACATTTTAGTCATTTAGCAGACGCTCTTATCCAGAGCAACTTACAGTTAGTGAGTTCATACATTATATTTTTCATACTGGCCCCCCGTGGGAATCGAACCCACAACCCTGGCGTTGCAAACGCCATGCTCTACCAACTGAGCTACATCCCTGCCGGCCATTCCCTCCCCTACCCTGGACAACGCCGCCCCATGGGTCTCCCGGTCACGGCCGGCTACGACAGAGGCTGGATTCGAACCAGGATCTCTAGTGGCACAGCTAACACTGCGATGCAGTGCCTTAGACCACTGCGCCACTCAGGAGACTATTTATCTCTATGATTGACAGTTGTCCCCGGAAATGCCTGTTATTTTGCCAAAATAAAGGTAGGTAAAGAATTTAAACATCTAACAACCTAATTAATTAGATGCGTAAGTAATTAAATCAATCAACACGTTGCCGATTCCATTTCTCACTATGTTTCAGTGTGTGAGGAGTAGATATGTCTACCTGACATATGCTTTAAGACTTGTGCTGAGCAGTACCCCCAATTTCCACCACTTCTGCATAATCACCCATATACACACAGGGGATGGGAGTATGGCTCAGCAACAGTCAAATGTAAACTGTGTGCAAATTAAGACCAGTATTGTGTTTCCAAGGAGCCTGTCTGTTGTGGTCTGTTTTTAATAAAAGTCTTTGGACAAAAAAAAAAAAAAAGGAGTTTATGAGATTAAAAGAGCATTTGAAATCATTAGCAGGCTAGAAGCTTGGAGTGGGTGCACGGGGGATTGGGGGTTATGGTTGGGAGTCGGACTTGGCTGTTGATCCTTCAGGTCCCGTGTGGGATCGGATCAAGACGGTGTGTGTGTGTGTGTGTGTGTGTGCGCCTGGAGGCATTCGTGTCTTTATGTACTGTATATGGGGGAGAGTAGTGGTTGGGTTTGAACTATTGTGGCCAGGCCTAGTGCGACTGACAAAATGAATGAGACCCCTTTCCTCCTCTCACTCTAAAAAGAACAGACGTGAAGTCTATAGGTATTACATTTGTTTGTGAGTGAGTGGGGGGGGGGGGGGGGATTTGAAAAGATGTACAGCCCATAGAATGGCCTTCACCCTACACAAACACACTGAAACCGTTTCCTAGAGCTGTAAGTATAGCAATGTTTTCAAGAGCTGTTAGTAGCCTATGTCTCGATGTGTCATGGCAAAAGCAGTTCGCTAGATCTGGATGTTTGTAGATGTGGTCTAACATTTCAGAATCAAGATGGAACTCATCGAAAACCTTAATTTAGACAAAAATGTGTTTTTTCTTACCTGTACATTCTACTCAGCGGTATTTTCTCTTCTAAACACTTGTCATGGATCACATGACTTTGGATTTTATCCTCTTGCGACGTATCAGCCTTCAGCTTTGCGTTACTGTACGAGTCCAATTGATAGTTCTTATGGATAAAGTTTGACTTCTCTGATTCGCAGTCCACCTCCAGTCCCACCTTCTGATTGGTGTTCTTCAGCTGGGAGGCGGGGATTAGGTTATCCCTCTGTGCGTCTGATAGGTTGTTCATGGTCTCCCCGTCTCCCCTGTCCCTGCCGGTCTGCCTGTGGATGTGTCTTAGAGCCAGTCCCACCATGCATAGCAGCACCAGTAACGCAACCAGCCCTACAGCCAGGGAAACTGCCGCCCACTGGAATCCATCTTGGCTCTCTCCTTTGATCCTCTCCCCACCCACCGGCAGGGTCACAGCAAAGAACTGGCAGCGTGATCCGGTGAAGCCGGCGGGACAGATACAGGTGGCGGGGGGTTTCCCCGTGCAGAGCCCTCCGTTAAGACAGGGGCGCATGGAGCACTCATCCAGGACACGGTCACAGTTTCGGCCGGTGTACCCCGGGGGGCAGGCGCAGGTGTAGTCGTTGATGCGGTCCAGGCAGGTCCCTCCGTTGGTGCAGGGGTTCCCGGCACACTCGTTGATGTTGATCTCACAGCGCTGGCCGGTGAAACCAGAGCGACAGCTACACAGACGCACGCCACCGTGGATCAAACACAGACCGCCTGGAGAGAGACACACAGGGGTTCAGGGATTATGGTCTTGGGGGAGAGAACACGCATGCAGACATATACAATTGGCCCTGTCCAGAAACAACCCCTAGCCCCTACCTCTAGACACTTGTGGAGATCTGAGAGGATTTGATGTTTAAGCAATATTGTAATGGCTTCATCTTCTCCTCTGACAGCCTAGGTGGAATTCTCGCTATTGCTTACACATGACCAATTTTCACACTACATCACTACATCACTACTTCACACTACATCACTACTTCACACTACATCACTACATCACTACATCACACTACATCACCACTTCACACTACATCCCTACTTCACACTACATCCCTACTTCACACTACATCACTACTTCACACTACATCCCTACTTCACACTACATCCCTACTTCACACTACATCCCTACTTCACACTACATCCCTACATCACACTACAATCCCTACTTCACACTACATCCCTACTTCACACTACCTCACCACTTCACACTACATCACCACTTCAGTAACCATCGAATGTATCAGACGTGAACTCTCAAGTCTGAATTATTCTGTCCTTTCCCTTTATCACAAACCCATGCACCACAACAAGCAGGTCCCCCCTGACCCCAAAAAACCTTAAACACTAGCCAACGTGGATGTGATATTTATCACATGATTTGTCACATGATTTTCCTCCATCCTCAGTTCAGTCTAGTACAGGCTTGACTGAATGAACAGTGTTGGGTGACATTCCTGGAAGTCGGACTGGAAGCTGTCACATGTTTACATCCAAGCACAATAGACGCAGAGTTCCCAAACAGATTCCTGTTGTTCCAGAACACTTCCAGACTGCCGGTCCAAGAGGAATTCAGGGAAAGGGAAGAGGGGGGGGGTGGAGCGGAGCGGAGCGGAGAGGTGGCTCTCCTCCGAGGGAGGGGGAAAAAGAAGAGGAGAAAGGAGCCGTGGCGTACCGTTGGCACAGGGAAGAGACGTGCACTTGTCCACTCTCTTCTCACAGTTGAGTCCTGTGTATCCGGGCGGACACTCGCAGATGTAGCTGTGCCCGTTGTCCTTCTGATGGCACTGTCCGCTGTGGAAGCAGGGGGAGTCGGCACAGGTCAGCAGGCTGTGTTCACAGTGGGAACCCTCGAAGCCCTGCGGACACGAACACGTGTAGCCAACATCCAGGTTCTAGAAAGGGAGAGAGAGAGAGAGGGGGAGAGAGTTTAGATCTAAGGTCAGGCAAAGACAGTTTTGATTACAGTAATTTCTCAAATGCATCCTTCCTTCCTTTCACATCAGTTCTGACAACATTTCTGCTATTGTCCCTTCTAGGCTGGCTATCTAGTGACTACCGTGGTCCAGGCAGCATAGTTCTAATCCATTACCCTTAAGTACACTACATGACCAAAAGTATGTGGACACCTGCTCATCTAAACATCTCATTCCAAATTAATGAGCATCAAAATGGAGTTGGTCCCTCCTTTGCTGCTATAACAGCCTCCACTCTTCTGGGAAGGCTTTACACTAGATGTTGGAACATTACTGCAGGGACTTGCTTCCATTCAGCCACAAGAGCATTAGTGCGGTCGGCCACTGATGTTGGGTGATTAGACCTGCCTCGCAGTCTGCATTCCAATTCGTCCCAAAGGTGTTCGATGGGGTTGAGGTCAGGGCTCTGTGCAGGCCAGTTCTTCCACACTGATCTTGACAAACCATTTCTGTATGTATCTTGCTTTGTGCACTGGGGCATTGTCATGCTGAAACAGGAAAGGGCCTTCCCCAAACTGTTGCCACAAAGTTGAGAGCACAGAATCGGCTAGAATTACATTGTATGCTGTAGCGTTAAGATTTCCCTTCACTGGAACTAAGGGGCCTAGCCCAGACCATGAAAAAAAGCCCCAGACCATTATTCCTCTTCAACCAAACTTTACAGTTGGCACTATGCATTGGGGCAGGTAGATTTCTCCTGGCATCCGCCAAACCCAGATTCGTCCATCGGACTGCCAGATGGTGAAGCGTGATTCATCACTCCAGAGAACGCATTGCCACTGCTCCAGAGTCCAATGGCGGCAAGCTTCACACCACTCCAGCCGACGCTTGGCATTGCGCTTGGTGATCTTAGGCTTGTGTGCGGCTGCTCGTCCATGGAAACCCATTTCATGAAGCTCCCGATGAACAGTTCTTGTGCTGACGTTGCTTCATGAGGCAGTTTGAAACTCTGTAGTGAGTGTTGCAACCGAGGACAGATGATTTTTACGTGCAACGTGCTTCAGCACTCGTCAATCCCGTTCTGTGAGCTTGTGTGGCTTACCACTTTGCAGCTGAGCCGTTGTTGCTCCTAGACGTTTCCACTTCACAATAACAGCACTTACAGTTGACCGGGGCAGCTCTAGCAGGGCAGAAATTTGACGAACTGACTTGTTGGAAAGGTGGCATCCGATGACGGTGCCAAGTTGAAAGTCACTGAGCTCTTCAGTAAGGCCATTCTACTGCCAACTGTTTGTCTATGGAGATTGCATGGCTATGTGCACGATTTTTATACACCTGTCAGCAACGGGTGTGTCTGAAATAGCCAAATCTAGTAATTTGAAGAGGTGTCCACATACTTTTGTTTATATAGTGTACCTAGCTGCTCATCAGTTCTGACAATGTTGCCACTTCCTGTCCCTTCTAGACTGGGCATCGAGTGACTTGTGGGGGGCCTTCTAGCACATTCTACTCACCGTGCAGAGTCCTCCGTTCCTACAGGGGTTGTCCCTTCTAACGTGCCAATCTAACCACTGCTCACCGTGCAGAGTCCTCCGTTCCTACAGGGGTTGTCCCTTCTAACGTGTCTATCTAACCACTACTCACCGTGCAGAGTCCTCCGTTCCTACAGGGGTTGTCCCTTCTAACGTGCCAATCTAACCACTGCTCACCGTGCAGAGTCCTCCGTTCCTACAGGGGTTGTCCCTTCTAACGTGCCAATCTAACCACTGCTCACCGTGCAGAGTCCTCCGTTCCTACAGGGGTTGTCCCTTCTAACGTGCCAATCTAACCACTGCTCACCGTGCAGAGTCCTCCGTTCCTACAGGGGTTGTCCCTTCTAACGTGCCAATCTAACCACTGCTCACCGTGCAGAGTCCTCCATTCCTACAGGGGTTGTCCCTTCTAACGTGCCAATCTAACCACTGCTCACCGTGCAGAGTCCTCCGTTCCTACAGGGGTTGTCCCTTCTAACGTGCCAATCTAACCACTGCTCACCGTGCAGAGTCCTCCGTTCCTACAGGGGTTGCTGTCACACTCCTGCAGTTCCAGCTCACAGTTGACCCCGGTGAACCCAGGGGGACAGGTACAGGTGTAGCTGCCCTGACCCGTGTTCATACAGGTCGCCCCGTTATCACACGGCCGGTGGTGCGTGCAGAAGTTCAGGTCTGAGATGGAGGAGGAGCAGAGGGGTCAAAGGTCAAATAAAGTTCAAATATAAGGTAATATACTGTACGTGTATTGTTAAATCATTGACACCCTTGATAAAGATGAGCAATAATGACTGTATAAAAATAAATCATTTAAATACTGAGTTATATTGTATGCTCCAAAGAATTTGGGCAATTATATTATTTTACATACCCCCAAGATATGCTAACCTCTCACCATTACCAATAACAGGGGAGGTTATCATGTCTTGGGGGTATGATCTTTGACCCTCTGTAACTTTCTCACTTATTTACAATAAAAAGTGACTCCAAAATGACACAATACATTATTTACCATTTAATATGTATTGGGCACAAAATAATCTGAAACACAATTATTTTACGGTCAGTATTTGAATCAAAAAAAATATCACTAAATGCACATATTTTCCGATACGTTTCAGTCAGATTGCCCTTTCTCTGTGCAACTACGATGGTGATGATGATGATGATGATGATGAAGATGTGTTCTTACCCTGGTCACAGAAGAGCCCTCCCCAGCCTTCCTTACAGTTACACTGCCAAGGCTGCTGGCAGGTGCCATGCTTACAAGCGGGGTACTTCTTACACTCGTCGCAGAACGGACCCTGCCAACCTTCTCTGCACCTGGAGACATAGGAGAGGTCATTCAGGGGTAAACGATCCTTCATCAATACCAAGATCTTTATCTATACATCATTGATTGACTGACTGACTGATTGGTTGATTTGTTAATTGATTGATTGACTGATTAAAGCATAGCTGTCCATACTTATAGTTTTGAATGTATGGACCCACTGACCACAATCTTAAGATCACACTGACATATTTTTACGACCACAAAATATGCAGTGCCAAACTATACAATGGATGTATCCACACAGATCCATTCTGGTAATTATAATGTAATACTGGTCACTATTTTCACAGAGGAAAAACTGTTAATATAAGAGCTGTTGATCAAGATGCTTAGGCCTCTGG